AATGGTGCTGGCATAATTGGCTAACCACATGTAGGAGATTGAAACTGGATCCTCATCTCTCACCTTATGCAAAAATCAACTCAAGATGGATTAAGGACTTAAACTTAAGACCTGAAACTAAATAAAAATTCTAGAAGATAACATTGGAAAAACCCTTCTAGACATTGGCTTAGGCAACAATTTCATGGCCTAGAACCCAAAGCAAATGTAATAAAAACAAATTTAATTAGCTGGGACCTAATTAAACTAAAGCATCTTTGTACAGTAAAAGGAACAGTCAGCAGAGTAAACAGACAACCCACAGAGTGAGAGAAAATCTTCACAGTCTATACATCTGACAGAGGACTAATATCCAAAATCTACAATGAACTCAAACAAATTAGTAAGAAAAAAACAAACAATTCTATCAAAAAGTAGGCTAAGGTCATGAATAGACAATTCTCAAAAGAAGATATATACAAATGGCCAACAAACATATGAAAAAATGCTCACTGTCACTAATGATCAGGAAAATGCAAATCAAAACCACAACGCAATACCACCTTACTCCAGCAAGAATGACCATAATAAAAAGATCAAAAACCAGTAGATGTTGGCATGGGTGTGGCAATCAGGGAACACTTCTACACTGCTAGTGGGAATGTAAACTAGGGAAATAAAGCTGCACACCTATAGTCATCTGACCTTCGATGGAGCCAAAAAAACAAGCAAGGGGGAGAGGACTTCCCGTTCAATAAATGGTTGTTATATACATATATAAAATGCACATTTTATATAGTAAATTTATATCTATATGTAACATATAATTGATATCTATATATCAATTTTGTATTTGATACTTTTGTTGAATTCTCTTATTTATGATAGACATATTATCCTCTTAGGTTGGAAAATTCAACATCGTAAAGACATATATTTCCAATTAATTTTGAAATGTAATAAAATTTTTAAAAAATATTAGCAGGTTTTCTTCCAAGTAGATAGCCTAATTCTACAGCTCATAAACAAAGAAAAGAAAGAAAAAATAGAAAAGCTTAGTAAAAACAGAGCAATGAGTGAAGACAAGACCCACTAGATATCAAAACATATTATAAAACCTCAATAATTAAAACAGTGCTGTGTCAGTGCATAAATAGATGAATAAATGCAATGTAATAAGATTTTCAAAAATATCTGTATGGCCAAATACAGTCAGGAGTTTAGTATGCAACCAAAACTGTAAGGGAAAATTCAAAAAATGGTGTTGGGATACTATACTTCATACCATATGCCAGGATAAGTAACAAATGGAGGAAGTATTTTAAATATAAGTAATGAAATCACACATGTGACAATGAAAACAGAAAATCTCCTTTATAATCTTGAAATGAATTACTATAGCTGTGACTCCAAAATCCAGAAGCCATAACAACCCTGCATGCCATAAAGCACCATAGCAAACTCAAAAAAATAAAAAGGTAAATGACAAAATGGGTGAAATTTTTGCAATTCATTACAGACGAGGGATTTGTTATCTAACACCTAACTATCATGTAGAATATGATAAGAAAAAGATATACATCCAAACAAAAAATTGAGTAAATAGTATAAAAAGATAACCCACAAAAAAGAAAATACAAGTGACTCTTAACGATGTGAAAAGATACTCAACCTCACTCAGATAAATGCAAATTTAAATTACACTGACACCATTTTTTTCTAATCAGATTGACAAAACTCCAAAAATTTAATTAACAAGCTTGGTTATAAATCAGCAGGCACTCATACGCTGCTGGTAATAATGCAAATTGTTAGAACCTCCATGGAAGGCAATTGGCAATATTCATCAAAATTACAAATGCTAATACTCTTCGACCTGCAATCCTGATATTGGAAGTTTATCTTGTGATATTTGTGTATATAAAAACCATTTATTGATTTTCCCCCTTGCTTGTTTTTTTGGCTCTATGGAAGATCAGATGACTATAGGTGTCATCTGATATGGGTATCTCGGCCAAGTTTAAGTAAGGTACAATGATGTACCTGCATCATTGTACAGAATGATGCAGGTACAAAATGATTCATGCAACATGATTTTTAATAGCTGCAAAACATTGGAAACAATCCACCTGCCCATGAATTAGCAACTGGTTATAGTATTTTCATATAATGGAATACTAAGAACCTATATTTTAAAAAATAAAGATATGTATCACTGATATGAAAATATCTCCAAGATATATGTGGAGAATGATGAATACACTATGCTTATTAAAAAGAGTGAAACAGAAGTACTTATCTATATTTGCAAATATGAAGCAACTCCCCCCAAAAATGTATCCCTCTGGAGAGATATATTGGAAACTAATAAAATAATGATGGGAGAACTGGGTGGATAGATGTTAGGAAGACTTTTTATGTGTACTTAAAATTTTTTTCATATGAATATATCATCTGAAAAAAGTGAAAACTTGAGATACCATTTTCTAATGCCAATGGACGTATTTTGCATAATAAGCAACGTATTAGCTGCTGTAGTACCATGCGTCAAGCATCTCAACACAATCATCCTTAACATCAAAAATATTTTAACAGTTCTTGGGGTTACTATAAATGGTTAATCTAAGCATAGTTGAATCCTTCAGACTAACTTGAAGCAGAAGACCAACATATCCTAGCGTCTTCTTGAATATATTAAGCTATTCACAAATGTCCCTCTTGAGTTCATTTAAGCTGTTTTTCTTATGTTGTCGCCTGGCTTATAAACCAGGCACTTATAAACACAGACTTTGAAGATCACTTAAACCTGTACCATTTATTGTCTCTATGACTTTGGATCAAGTGCCTGAGTTTCCTCATGTGTAAAATGGAGATAATACAAATTTCATAGATTTGCTATGATGATTGAATGGGTTACTGTACATAAAGCTCTTAGCCTGGCACACAGTCAAAGCTACAGAAATATTAAGCGTCTCTACTCCTACTAAGACATTGACTACTGAGTGTCAATTCCTAGTGGTGTGAATTTTCACTGGGTTCTGAGCTCTGGCATGTTTTGATGGATACTTTAGTTACTAATCTTGCACAAGAGGTCGAGGGGGAAATATCTTCAGTCAGTTCAAGTGGCAATTGTACTTGTACTATTTAGGCAGTCAATCACAAATTTATGCTAATTTTCTCCCTTCGAATTAAAACTTCTCTGATTAAATACATTGGATGTCTACTTAACAATTCTTCTACTCTATAATTCAAATAAAATGTTCATTGTGCTTCAAAACGTCATCAGCATTTTTAACACCTTTATACCAAACATCTTTTTATTATGAAATGCAATTTACTTCAGTCTTACTCAGAATTAACTCATACTATCTCTAACTCACATCTCCCAGTTATTGTAATCAAGATATTACAAGTGATTTCTTATTATATTACCATTTCAATGGTAAAAAAACATCCTTTTCAATGTCAGAAATCCATATTATTAACAATAAAATTAATATCACCTCATATAATGCATAAATTACTCAAATAAACGTAGAAAGCTTTGAAAAGTTATATATTTTAAAATTATACTGACCAGGTATAACTACACTGCTCGGGTATAATTTTCAAATATTAGAGAAGATTAGAAAGTTAGGATTAACTATCTGATGACCATTGACAAATTCTTTGTTATTAATAAATTGATCTCTAAATTCCCCCAGATAACATACAACCAGAGATTATAAGGGAAATATTAGTAAAACTATAAATTATGTTTAATCCTTGGGCAGTAAACAATAAATTTTTAATTAAAAAAACTAAAATTCTCATTTTAATGATGTTGTGATACAACTCAAAAGAAAAATTAAGGTTACTGTTGTTATTAAATAAATGTTTAATGTGCACATTATGGAGTAAGCATTGGCTTATGCCCCTTGGGGATATAGGGGTAAAAAGTAAGCCCTGAGATAGATTGTAATCCCCTAAACAAATTCAGACATATAAAATAATTACAATGTAAATATTCCATGATAATGGCTGTGCTAGGAGAGTTCAGGGAGAGATGACCACACAAACTATTTTGCATTTTATTTAAGCTTTGAAGAAAGTTAGAAGTTCAATAGACAAAAATGGTTAACAAGATCATTTTAATTGCAAGGAATAATATGAGAAACTACTAGAAAGAAATAGTAGAGCCTGCTTGTAGAACTAAACATATGAATGAAAGTATAGAATAAAAGTGGGAAATAAAACAGTAATAAGAAGTTACAATACAAGGCTGACAAATTTAGACCTTTTTTATAAGCAATGGAAATCTATGAAAGGCATTTTGATCAAAATAATTTTATAAAAGTTATTGTCTGAAACTTACATTGGTAATGGTATACAAATAGATTTGGATTCTGTGCAGGGAGTGGGAGGAGTGAGAGAATGTCCTAGTAGTTTAGGCAAAACGTTTATATGAGTTTGAATTAGGTGCTATGGGATGAGAAAAAAGAGATTAGTACAAATTAACCACTTACTATGTCACAACTTTTGAATTTTATCAGTTAATCATCTCAACCACCCATTTCAAAAAGTAACTATTATTTCCATTTTATATAAAGTTGATTAATTTAGTCATGATGACAAAGTCATGAATAGTAGTGCTGGGCCTTGAACCTCAGGTTCACTGATTTCTAAAGGCCACACTTTTAATCTCTGTGACCTCTAATACTCCAAGCTCGTTATAATGAATGCTAAGGAGAAAACTGGAGCCAAAATGACACTGAGGTTTTAAGCTTAAGTTGTTGAGAAAATAATGGTATCAATCAAAGCAAAATATGAAATATTAGGGGAAGAGTTAAAGGTTAGACACAAATCCCATCTCTTATCTAATCAACTCCACCTCCTGAAAAGCATTAAGATTCTTCAACATTATCTGAAGAATGTTTATTCTACTTATTATTTATTAGTCCTGTTTTAGTTTTTAAATGTTTGATTGCTCCTGTGCTGAGCCTTTTCCAACTGAACTCACTGAAATTCTACTCTTTTATCAGGTGAGAAGTTTCCAGACAAGAAGCCTAAGGTGCAATTAGTCATATCCTACGAGGATGTGAAGCTGACCATACTGGTGAAACACATGAAAAACATTGTAAGTTTATTATGTATAATAAGAAACATGTAAGCCTACATTCAGAAATCACTTACCTCCTTTGGGCAATTAGTGTCAACATTAGTTAGAGGAATGGGTATCTCGGCCAAGTTTAAGTAAGGAACAATGAGCCAATTACAATATTTTTGCCTCGGGATGACTGTGATCCTTGGGGTAAAGACTCTAAAATACTTCACAAGGAAAGTCCTAGAATGAACATTAAACTTCATTCAAAATATCAGGAAAAAACTAGGGAAAAGGCTCTGAAATAACCGGATTAGCTGGAGGATCAAAGGATAAAAGAAAAAAGGCTGGGTCCCAATAATTTCCAACTATCTCAACATGCCGAACTTGGTGGAGAATTCACTCCGTCTCTTTGCATCACGCCAGTACCTTCCCTGAAACCAAGAACTCTTAGGGTTCTCTCCCAAACTCCCATTGTACATTGACTTTATAGCATCATACAGTTATCATATTGTGATGTAATTCCTTATGCGTGTTTCCTTCTCCTCAAAAAATAATAGTGTTTTGAGAACGGAAACCCCATCTTTGTTTCCGTGTCCCCATCCCAGAACCTAGAACAAAATCTGTAGTTAGCCTCCAAAGAAAACTAAAAATTCCACTCTCTATTACATGCCACTTAAGGTTGGCGCAAGTCAGAGGCATTGATGGTAACTGGATCATATCATTAAGAAAGAGAAGAAGCTTTCTGTGTCACAGGGCAAGTGACTAATGACCTGAGTTGGGGTATAGCAAACATAGAAGGAAAACACTAAACCTCACCAACTATTTTAATCTCCCTTGAGCCTAGACAAAACGGGTTCTCCACATGGTAAAAATTTCCCAGGAGACTATGTCAGATGTGGAGAAAGTCAGTAACACAATTTTTGCTCTCTTCTTTGTGCACATAAATCTCTGAGGATGCCTTTGGAAGGATCTAAAAGAGCAAACGCTTCTCCATATGACACGAGTCCATAACATATTAAAACAATAAATATTTGTTTGGTGAACAAATAATTGGCATAATTTGAAAAGAATACATTCATTACAAATTCATTATTATTCAGACACCCAAGAAGGCGTGTTTGTAAACCTCTGGTGCTCACTATCAGCAATTTTTGTAGTATCTGGACAAATATTTTAAAATTTTCTTGCAAATCTTTTACTAATTAAAACAATTATTTTCCATTGTTTTTCACTAGATAATCACCTTAAATAAGAATAGCAGTTTTTTGAGAAACCCTTACATTGCAAAATGAAGATTCAGTTCGACATTGTTTATGGCTACATGCATGTTGATGAATTTTAAGCAACTATATAAACATAAATGATAAAACAATAGAATGTTAAGAAATATTGTTAATCAAATTAACAAAACTTATATATGTATTTCATATATGAAAATAAGCCTTGACCACAGTCCTCTTAGAAATGATATATTTATTCCAGTAATGTTATCATTGCTCAAAACATTTTAGAGCATGCCTGATGAAATTGCTTTTAGACTGGGCATGCAAACCAAACAGTAAACTTGGTGATATTACTCAATGGACACTCCTGATTTTTGATCAAAAGTGATATTAACCAACCTGGTCACCCATTTCATTCACCAGATGAATCACCAAATTACTTTTGACAGTTTTCAAAAATGCATTTTACACTCAGATGAAATTATAGTACCAATGAAGATCTTCAAAATAAATGTGATGCAAGCATGAAGCAGGGATAGGAGGAGTGAATGGGAAAGAGCAAGAGTTTAAGATTGAGAGTTTAAAACTGAGATCAAGTTATAGGTAAATAGAAAATGACCAAATGACCCTAAAAATAGTGAAAAAACACTTAGGGCCATGAGAACCTCTACATTACCAATGCTCTCAAAAAGAGCTATTAATGATGTAGTAATACTTGCTTCAGTCTGCCTTCTCAGTTTACTTACTAGTTCCTCTCTTCTCTCTAAGCTCTTAACATTGAAAGGTTTTATTTTAGTGCCCTAAAATTTAATCCTAGACCTCTCCTCTTTTTCTACCTCTAGCCTCATGGCTTTAAACATTACTTACTTGTTTTTCTTTTCCAAATCTACAATTCCAGCTTGGAACTCTCATCTGAAATCCAGAGTTGTATGTACAACTGACTATCAACAACCCTAGTATAAATATAATAGGTGTCTCAGACTCAATATGCACCAAACTTCTCATGACTTCCCCTCTAAACCTACATCATTTGCCACCTTTTTCATCTCAGTAAATAGCACCTTCATTCTCTAGTTACTCAGGTTAAAACCTTAGAGTCGTTTTGACTCCTCTCCTTCCTCACAAGCTACATCCATTTTACCAGCAAATTCTGTTACTCTGCTTTCAAAATAAATCCAGAACACACCAACTTTCTCCTCCACTGCTTCCATTTTTGGTTCAAGTCACCAGCATCTCTTACTTGAATTACTGCTGCAGTTTCTTAACAGTTGTCCCTGCTTCTGTCCTTCTTTATAATCTCTTTTTAATCTAGCAGCCAGAATGTTCCTTTGAGAATAGAAGTCAGATCCTGTCGTTCCTCCCTTCATATCCCTTTGGGGAAGGAGTCCCCTATAGCTTATAACCAAAGTCAAGGTACTTGTTAATGACCTGTGAGACCCTATCAATCTGCTCTCTTGACCTCTTAACCTCATCTCCTACCACAGACTCCCTCAGTCACTCCATGCCAGCCTCAGTGCCTTCTTTGCTGTTCCTTGAATATGGCAGGCTTGTTGCTGCCCCAGGACTTTCGTATCTGCTACTCCATTTACCTAGAATGCTCTTCGCAAGTTCATGGATCAATATTCTCCATGGCTCAATCTCATATGTCCTGAATGCCTGTATTTTACTGACACCTTTTCAGTAAAGTCCTATCTGATTCCCAAATGCAAAACTGCAACACTGCTCCCCTTTGTTGCCACTTTCAATCTTTCTTTTCTACTTTATTTTCTTTCCTCCCCTGTGCCACTGCTGTAACCCAAGGTGTATAGAATAGGGCCAAGTATATAGTAGGTGTCAGTAAAGCCTTGGTTAAATAAAAGAATATCAACTTACTTCTCATGTGAACAACTAAGAATTAGGATGTTTTCATCTTCCAAAAATCATCACAGCAAAGTTATGCATTGCATTTTCCACAGCTTCCTTTAAATGATTATTTTGTTTCTTCTGCTTAAAACAACTTTCTACTATAAATGACGTAAAAAATCCATCTATAAATTCTCAACATATTTTATTTGCTAATTTCAAGTTTTAGCTAATTGTTATTTATTTGTCAATCCTTTAGTATGTTCACATACCAAAATAATAGACTAAAATTGGGCTTGATTTTATATTAATGTTAAAATGAATTATTATGCCTAGAGTTCTGTTATGTTTAATATTAAGTTTGATGACAAGTATTGTTTATCTTTTATTAAATCTATGAAGCTTTGCTCTGAGAGTTACTTTCCTCCTGTGAGATCCCAAGCTAAAATAAAATTGCTAAAATTCTTTCCCTTTCAAAGCATCACAATATGATTCACTCTAGCAAACAGAGACTGATGAAGTAGTGTAAGTATTTAAAAGCTTGTCCATGGCCGGGCGCAGTGGCTCACACCTGTAATCCCAGCACTTTGGGAGGCCAAGGCAGGTGGATCACGAGGTCAGGAGATCGAGACCATCCTGGCTACCACTGTGAAACCTCGTCTCTACTAAAAATGCAAAAAAGTAGCTGGGCGTGGTGGCATGTGCCTGTAGTCCCAGCCGCTGGGGAGGCTGAGGCAGGAGAATGGCGTGAATCCAGGAGGCAGAACTTACAGTGAGCTGAGATCGTACCACTGCACTCCAGCCTGGGCGACAGAGCAAGACTCAGTCTCAAAAAAACAAACAAACAAACAAACAAACAAACAAAAAGCTTGGCCACGGTTTTTTAAAACACTATGACAAAGAAACATAAAAATCAGTTAGATTTGAAATATTTTTTAAAACCCCCTCTAGCACTTTTCCATGTATCCTTCCTTAAAATGCTGTCTTCCATTGACTTCTACAACGTCTCTCCATGCATTTTCTGCTGACTTCATGGATTTTTTTCTAGTCTGTGTAGTTTCTAGGCTGCTCTCTTCTCTCTGCTCCAGAATATTCACATTCCAGAAGGTGCTAAACATAGCCAATAGGATGAAACTCTCTTCTGATATTGAATCTACCCACACATTCTCAGGCTCTTAAAACAAGGAGCAAGAAATGTCAGGAATGATAGAAGACAACTCAAATGTGGTACCATTCAATCCTTTCATAAAACACAAGATGGGAAAAGTAGTTTCGATATGAAAATTAACACGAGAGAGAGAGAAGTAGAGTCAAACACAAGAACCCACACACACACTAAAACTGTATTACTTTTAATTTTTTATTTAAACTCTTCTTTTACATTTTTAATGTGTCTGAGTGTAACCTGGGGTTTCTTGTTTTTAAAATACATTTTTCTGGGTGCCACTCCTAGTAATTTTGATTCTGTAAGTATAGATTGGGCTATCTGCATCTGCGCAATACAGGCATCTCTTGGTCCCATGGCTTCCTCTACCGTCTCTTTCATTTCTAGACTTGTTTTTGTCTCTCCTGCTGCAGAATATGAGCATTCCAGAAGGCTCTCTGGTGCAAATGGTTCATGGACCTCTTTGAAAAAATAACACAAGTGGCTAGTACCCTAATGTCCCAAATGGCACTCTACACACAATGTGGTGAGCTCGGTACTTGGCACCAAGTGAATTGTGGTGCCTTTGAAGTAGAACAGAGACAACACTTAGACTTGGTAAGGATAACAGTTGAGGGTTGTGAAAATAAAGCACAGACTATGGCAATGTTTGACATATAAAAACATCAATGTTCTGCATATCCTTCTAATTAGCTTGGCTGGGTCCCGTGATAGTCTTAATTTTTTGTTGTTTTTAAAATCTCGATACTTAAAGGAAATTTGTCTTTGTTTCAACCTAGATGCACTTCAATCTAAATAAATGT